TTTCAAAATAAGGCTGTTTAATCTACATTGAAAATCTGTTTATTGTACTCACCTTCATCTATTATCTTCACTAGATCTTTCAGATAACTTGCTGCAGCTTCTACATCAGCACTTGCTGCTTCACACCTTGCACTTTCACGTTATGGAGACGGCTTCTTTCCTTAAACCTCATGAACCAACCTCTGCTAGCTTTGAACTTTCCTTCCACAGCTTCCTCACCTCTCTTTCAGCCTTCATAGAACTGAAAAGAGTTACGGCCTTGCTCTGGATTAGGTTTTGGCTTAAGGGAATGCTGTGGCTGTTTTGGTCTTCTATCTGGACCACTCAAACTTTCTCTGTATAAGCAATAAAGCTGTTTCATTTTCTTATCATTCATGTGTTCACTGAAGCAGCACTTTTAATTTCTTTCAAGAACTTTTCCTTTGCATTCACAACTTGGCTAATCATTAGTTGCAAGAGGCCTAGTTCTTGGCCAATCTTGGCTTTAGACATGCCTTCCTCACTGAGCTTAATTAATCATTTCTTATTTTTTATTTCAAGTGAGAGACTTGTGGCTCTTCCTTTCACTTGGACACTAAGAGGCCACTGCAGGGCTATTAATTGGCCTAATTTCTTTCTTTCTTTTTTTTTTTTTTTTGAGACAGAGTCTTGCTCTGTTGCCTGGGGTAGAGTGCCGTGGCATCAGCCTAGCTCAAGTGGTAGTCCTGGCTTGGCCACCGAGTAGCTGGACTATAGGCACATGTCACCCACACCCGGCTATATTTTTCTATTTTTAGTAGAGACGGGGTCTCACTCTTGATCAGGCTGGTCTAGAACTCCTGAGCTCAAGCGATCCTCCTGCCTCAGCCTTCCATAGTCCTAGGATTACAGGTGTGAGCCACCACACCCAGCCTTGGCCTAATTTCAATACTATTGTGTCTCAGGAAATAGGGAGGCCTAAGGAGAGGGAGAGAGACTGGGGAACAACTCGTCAGTAGAGCAGTGGCACACATACAACATTGATTTAGTTTGTCATCTTACATGTGTGTGGTTTGTGGCACCCCAAAACAATAACAATAGTAACATCAAAGATCACTGATCACAGATTACCATAACAGATATAATAATGAAAGTTTGAAATACCATCAGAATTACCAAAATGTGACACAGAGACATGAAGTAAGCACATGCTATTGGAAAAATGGCATCTATAGACTTGCTCGAGGCAGGGTTGCCACAAACCTTCAACTTGAAAAAAAAAGAAAAAAGCAGTATCTGTAAATCACAATAAAGCGAAGTGCAATGAAATGAGGTGTGCCTATATTGTCTTTGACTCTCACCAAAGCCCCAGGTTTCCACAGATGAAAAAAGGAGGTTCAAAAGGTTTGGGTGATTTGCCTAAATCACCTGGCTAGTAACTCCCAAGTGCCACAGACTTTCCACCATATGGCAGTGCTGCCCAAAGCCCTAGGCTATGGGTTCCCTGCCTCAGGCACGCAGGTAGGCACTCAAAAATTAGTTAAATGAGGAAATAGCCAACAACTAGGAGAAAGCTAAGCAAATTGTGGTTGACCAACAAGATACTACGAGACTCTTCGGAAGGAAGATGTTGATAAGTGGAAATCCACATCAGATGAAAATGCATAACCTCGCATTTCACAAGAGCAAGATTGCCTAGATCTCAGATACAGGTTTCCATCTGCTTGGCCTCAATTACCCAGAGCTGAGTCACCTGACTCCCCATGTCCAGTCTTCCCAACCCTCCTCAACCTGTCTCAGAAACCTGCCCAGGACTCCCTACTGCCCACACTGCCAAATCTGGTTTTTTTTTTTTTTTTTTTTTTTTTTTGAGACAGGGTCTCACTGTGTTGCCTGGGCTAGAGTGCCGTGGCGTCAGCCTAGCTCACAGCAACCTCAAACTCCTGGGCTCAAGCAATCCTACTGCCTCAGCCTCCCGAGTAGCTGGGACTACAGGCACGCGCCACCATGCCCGGCTAATTTTTTTTCTATATATTTTTAGTTGTCCAATTAATTTCTTTCTAATTTTAGTAGAGACGGGGTCTCGCTCTTGCTCAGGCTGGTTTCGAACTCCTGAGTTCAAACAATCCGCCCACCTCGGCCTCCCAGAGTGCTAGGATTACAGGCGTGAGCCACCGCGCCCGGCCCAAATCTGAATTCTTTACCCTGGCCTTCAAGGCCCTACCATCTGATCAAATCCAGTTGTTTCCTGGATTACTTTCTCTGGCCTTTGCTGGACTCTTTCCCTCAGCCCACGGAACCCTATCTTCCCCTTTATGCTGACACTAGAATTGGCTCATCTTGGCTCTCAGTGAATGCTGGTGCCTTTACCCGCTTCCATAAAAAGGGAAGTGGGTTTGTTTTTTTTTTTAATAAAAGTGGATTTACATGACATTCATTCGAACCTATGTGATGACCCACATGATCCACATGGAGCCCCTATCCAAGAACCTCTGATTTGGGTTCAATAAGGAGGTGGAGAATTCATTTAGACCACCTGAGCAGCCAGGTGGGCTTGGCTGGGATGCTGTTCCACTTCCTCCTCTCCTAACTCACCCCAGAGCTTTCCCAGGAATCACAACCAAAGGCTCATTATCAGGCAAGTCTCTTTTTTCTCTCAGTTTCTTCATACGTAGGGGAAAACATGGTTGGGGGAAGAGCTTCTTACAATAACATTTTTAGAAAAATTTAGAAAGTGGGTGTGTCAAAATTGGATAAGAGAAAAATGACAATAACTTACCAATTGGAAAAAGTTTTCCCATGAAAGTTCTCACCAATTATATCCAAAGTCCTATCCAGCTGAGACATTGTACACTGTCAATAAATATACCCTGACCAACCCCTAGATTAATGCAAACAGACTTACCCCTATCCATCGTAACAGCCTGCTGTAGGGAGATCCCAGTATTGCTGTAACCAGTCAGCTCCTGGTGAGGGGCATTTAGTTGTCAGCAATTTTCCAGAATGAACAATTCTGCAAAGAACAATCTCATATAAGCATTTATCTTTGCTGTGCAGCTATTTCTCAAAACAGATTCCTAGAAGTGGAATTACTGGCTTAGAGGATGCACACATTTTAGATTCTGATACTTAAATTAGTTGAAAAATGTTCCATGGTAATCTCAAACTCTCTTTGTATTTAGGATTTACCCAGTGGAACTTGTTTACAATGCAAAATCCTGACACACTCCCAGCCTTTCTCCACCCCCACCCCATTCTCCTGAAGGAAGTGTGGAGAGGGGCTCTAGAAGCTGCTTTGTTATTTGTTATGCAGGTGGCTGTCCTATAGGGCAAGGGGAAGCCACCGCTCCCTTCTATTGCCACAACCTGATCTAAGACTTGGGAAGCACTGGCTTACGGGGCTGCCACAGGCAGAATTGACGGTTATGTCTCTGACCTCTGACCCAAGCCCCCAGTAGTTAGCTTCCCCAAAAGGGCAGAGTCTGGCTCTCTCACGCATACCAAAAAAAAAAAAAAAAAACGCCTAGTGTGGAGTTCAAGCTCAGCAGGCGACACAAGCTCACTTAGCTACACCTCCATTTCCCCTCCAGGCTCCCCTGTTCTCATACAAGTTCTGTGACCCCAGTGGCCCCGTTAGTTTTGCCTTTCTTACCTAAGACTCCTCAAGTCTCCCCTTTTCTATCAGAAGGCTGTGGATGGTGCACCATTTGGCAAAAAATTGATTTTAACTACGACTCTGGGCCTCAGTTTCCCCATCTGTGAAATGGAGAGTACTGGGTAGTGCCATTGACATTTGGGGTGCTGCCGTGAGGAGACTAGCATGGCCAACTAGATTCTTGGCATTCTAAGGGAAGTCCAGCTTCAACGGGGAGTCCAGGTGCGCCTCGTCATTTAATCAGCATTCTGATGGGCTTAGGGCCTGTTTAAAAAATCAGACTTTCGCTGAGTTCTCCATTGCTAAAATGCAATTAAGACCAAAAACTGTTTTCCATGCTGATTTTCAAGCTCAAGGGCCCTAGCTATCTGGGCCTAGATGAGGAAGCAGGCCCAGAAGAGGCCTCGGGAGGTTTGAGTTAGGCTTACTCTGTGCTGGGCTGCCCTACTAGGTGGTACGGGTACCGGGATCAGAGAGCAGGGAAGGGAGTGCTGACAGGGGTGGCGGAGGCCAAGGAAAACCTCCTGGAGTTGGGCATAACGCGAAGAGGAACAAGAAACCAGTTAGGACCGCTGGGAGCTCCTAGACTCACGTCTGCCTCCGTCAAAGGCCAGCCACGGTCAAAACGTCCTGGACCGAATGACACGGGTTGACTGGGTGACGAAACCAAGTCCGGAACCTCTCTGCGGCTCACGAGAAAGCCAGCGACTTATCCGAGGCCTGGACGGGACGCCCCGCACGGCGTCGCTGCATTGGAAACAAGCGTTGGCTGCTTTGGCCTCCGCGCCCCTTGCGTGCTACACCGCGTGCTTCGGGCTCACGTCTGAGGCGGCGTCCTTCCCCACTCTACTGACTCTTCAGGGCAGAAAAGGCGTCATATTCTGGGCCCTGTCCCTTGCCAGCTAGGGGTACATCCCCGTACTAACTGGGCCTCAGTTTCCCCTCGATGCAACGGGAACAATCACGTCGCCGGCAGATCTGGCTGAGGGAGCAACTCACAAAAGTCGGGATTTGCATTATTTCTCCCTTGGTAATGGCCCCCATGCCCAGCGAGGAGCACACAGTAGGCGCTCCGGAAACGCTCTCCAAAAGGAGGAACCGGCCACTTCCTGCCCCCGAGCGGACTATCTCGAGCCGACGCTCCCACCGCTCCTCCTCGGAGGCCATGTGGCATTCCTGAGGGTGGGGGTGGGCGCAGGAAGAAGGTGCCCTCCCGGCCCCGCCCCCTCCGGGCGCGGTGGGCGGGGCCTGTCCCTCAGCGCCGTCGGCCCGCCCCGCGGGGGGTGGGCGTAGCTCGACGCGCTCCGCACAAAGTTTGTTTTCTCCCTCAGGGCGGGTGGGGGAGGGCGAGGAGAGCGCGGAGGGGAGGAGAGGGGATCTGACGTCAGGCCGCGAGGTGCTTTCCAGCCGCGAGCTGTCAGGCCGAGTGTCAGGCCGGGCAGGTACGCGGCGCGCTCCCCCGGCGCCCCCCTCCCCCTGCCGGGACGCCCCGCACCGAGCCTGAGGCCGCGTGGACCAGAAAGCCGCTCGGAAAAGTCAGTGCGGGGCGCGGGAGGGGGCCAGAAGGGCGTGGGGGGCGCGCGGACTACTTGGAAAGTTTCTTTTTCTCGGTCGGACGGGGGAGGGGGCGTCGTCCTGGCGCGTGCGATTGTGGGTGTGTGAGCGCGAGTGTCCGAGTCGCGACTGCAGGGTGCTGGCGGGGCCTGGTGGGGGCTGTTCCAGCCCCTAGAAGGAAGCTCGCTCGACCCCGGTGGGGGGGCCCAGCTCCCCAGGATCCCACCCTGGGAGAGGGCCTCTCACGCCCCAGACCGGAGTGAGCGCGCGGGGGGCGGGTTTGTTTGGTTTCAAAAGTGCACGTTACTAACCGCCGGCAGCCCCCCCCGCGCCGCCGCGGAGCCGGGGAGGGGGCAGCTGAGAATGACAGCTGAGGGTGGGGGCAGCGAGAAGGCCCCGGAGCGGGGGAGCTGGGGAGCCCGCGCGAGTTCCCCTTTCCTTTGGAACAAAGGAAAGTCTGTCTCTGAGGCATCTGTCACTCCCAGGCGGGCCAAGGGAGCGGGGCGCGTGGGGCCCGCGACCCGGAGAAAGTTTGTGCGCGCCGGGACCATCGGGCAGGCCGGGGGTGAGCCGAGCCTCCCGCGGGGGAAGCGCGCAGTCTCTCGGGCAGGGGGCGGCCAACATGGAGTCTGGGCGCTGAGCTGAGGGGGGGGCGGTGCGGAGGTGGGAGCCCAGCCCCCTGCCCTCCCCTCCCCCTCCGGGCCGAGTTCGGAGCACAAAGCCGAGCGCGCACGCTCGGCCGGCCCCGCGCCCCGAAGAGTTTGCCAGCGCCGAGCAGCCGGGGAAGGGGGTGGGAACCAAACTTTTTCCTGCCCCGGGACAGGCACGTGAGTTTTCTTTCTTCCACAGCCCCCTGCCCCATCGGGATTGCGGGCCCGCGGAGGAGCTGATGCGCCGAGTCTGCCCCGGGGTGGGGGGATGGGGGGGTGCAGGCGCCCAGAGCGCCGGCCGATTCCTCACCGCCCCGGGAGCCATGTGCTCCGACTCGGTCTGGGCCGCGGGGGAGGTTGCGCGCTTTGTGTGAACCGCTGGGAATGCGAGCGTGAGTGCGCGGCCCCGGGGAGTGTAGCGGGAAGAGTTGTCAGAAAGTTAGTGCGGGAGTCGCTGCAGGTGGCGTCGTGGGAGTGTGTGGGAGGGCGTTGTGTCGAGGGGGGTGCTGCCACAGGCCAGATAGGGCAAGAACTGATGGCTGGTGTGGTGACGTCCGGAGCTTTCCCTGTCGGAGAGATAGGGGTGGGCGGGTACAGAAGCTGGGCTAGTTGCATGGGTCACGATTCGTGCTAGGTGTGGGGTTGGGAAAGCTGCGTGTGTGCTGTATGTGTCGGCGAAAATCCCGGCGCTTGCAGGGCTTGAGCGATGGGTCGGTGCCAGTTATCTGAGCGCTGTTGTGCGTGGAGCGAGTGGGGAGTGTGTGTCTGGGCGCAGTGTGGGGTGAGTTTGTGAGGAACCTCCCGGACGGCAGGCAGACCTGAGGTGCAAGATGCTGAGGTAGAAAAGTTTGTGTAGACTGAGGGGTCATCCCCTGGGCCCACCCCGGGAACCCTGCAGACTGGGGCTTGGCTGGCAGCCAGGGTGGAATTTGTACAGATAACCTTCTGTAAACTTGTAACCGCCTGCCGGGGCTGCATCCCTGAGCCCAGATCTGCTGCCCCAGCGGCCCAGAAATGTCTGACCTCAGAAAGTAGCCTGCCAGCCGAGTGGCACCTCAACCAGTGCCTGTCTCACCTCCAGGTGGCCTGGCTGAGACCCTTCCCTCGAAAGCCGCGCCTAGCGGGCCAAGAGATCTGGGCTACGGCCCAAGTAGAAGAAACAAAACCTGGGAGATGCCAGAGTCTGTTGGCTGGCCTACTGGCGAGCTGTTAAAAGGCTGAGAAGGGAGGAGCCTTGGGATTCTGGCATCAGCTTGACCTAGAACTTTTGCTTTTAAAATGTAAATCTCTCTTGCTTGTGTGAACAAGAACTTTGTCGGGAGATGAGCAGCTGGGTTGGGTTATCTACAGAAAAACCTTCCTTCATTTGACCGGTGAAGTGGGGACTCAAGCCCAGAGATGGGAGGACACTTGATCAGGGTCACACAGCCAAGTGGAGGGTAGGGCAGGGACCAAAGCACAGGCTCATCACGATTTTGAGGGATTGAGTCTAGGACCAGGCCAAAGGGCCTGACAAGGGAGAATATCCAAGAAACAACCAGTAGGGCTGACTCACCCTTCTCTGCAAGGTACACAGTAGGTGCTCTGTAAATTTTTAATTATGTGGATTGCTGCAGACCATGGTGATCCATGCAGTTTCCAGATGCCTCATTGGGCCTTGGGAGACCTGGGAAGCCAGATGGTGTAGAGCCCACAAGGCAGCTGAGGGGAAGCAAACTGCCTGCGTCCAAATCCTACTTGCATGTCATATCCTGGAGGTGGGATGTCTTTTTCCCCTCCCCACATAACAGCTTTATGAGATATAACTCACATGCCATGTAATTTACCCATTTAAAGTACACATGTCAGTGGCTTTTAGTATATTTACAATGATGTTTAACTTTAGGACAATTTTTATCACCTCAGAAAGAAACCTCACACACTTTGACTACCACTTTTCTATCCCCTCAGCCCTAACTAACTGCTAATCTACCTTCTGTCTCTATACAGTTGCCTATTCCAGACATTTCACGACAAACAGAATCGTAAGATACACGTGCTTTTGTGGCTGTCTGACTTAGCATAATGCTTTCAAGGTCCATCCACATGTCAGGATTTCACTCCTTTTTATGGCAGAATAATATTTCATCATAGAGATAGACCACATTTTGTTTATCCGTTCATCTGCTGAGGGACACTGGATTGTTTCTACCGTTTGGCTATTACAAATAATGCTGCTGTGAACATTTGTGAGGTTTTGTGTGGACACAGGTTTTCATTTCTCCTGGGTAGATACCTAGGAGTGAAATTGCTGGGTTGCAAGGTAGTCTGTTTAACTGCCTTGTGTTTTGGGTGGCTTTCTTAATCTCTGTTTCTTCATCTATAAAATGGCGATGATAGCAGTTTCTCCTTTATAAGGGGCTTGGGAGGATTAAGTGAGATAATGTAAAGTACTCAGTACAGAGCATAGAAAACAGTAGACCTCAGTTATTGAGTAGCTGCAATTATTTCTAATCCTTGGTCCTGCTTATGAATGAGCTGACATTCATTTCAGTGTCACCTACCCGCCCCCTTGAAATGAGGCCCTTTTAGACTCCTCCTGTTTAGCTTGCTCAGGCTGTGGTTTGGCCTGAGACTTTGAATTGCGACTCCCCTGATCTTGGTGTCCCAGGCTCTAGTAATGCTGAGTGTGTTTGGAGACTAGGAAGAGGGTGAGAGGCAGTACGTGGTAATGATGTCCCCGTCCCCTGTGTCACTTGTCCTAGGCTTGCCAGAGGTCCGGCCTAGCTCCTAGACACCATGTCAGACAGTGATCTAGGCGAGGACGAAGGCCTCCTCTCTCTGGCGGGCAAGAGGAAGCGCAGGGGGAACCTGCCCAAGGAGTCTGTGAAGATCCTCCGGGACTGGCTGTACCTGCACCGCTACAATGCCTACCCCTCCGAGCAGGAGAAGCTGAGCCTTTCTGGACAGACCAACCTGTCAGTGCTGCAGGTAAGGAGGGGATCCAGGTGGTGGGGTAGCAGGAGACCTGGGTTCTAGTCCTGTCCCAGACCTGTCACTGATTCACTATGGCCTTTGGCCAGTCACTTCCCCTCTCCAGGCCTCAGTTTCTTCTTGGGTCAAGTGAGAACATCCATTCTCCCTGCCTCAAGGGAACACAAAATGAGGTCATTGCAGCAATATTTCAGACTGTGGAGAGTGCTGCAGAGACAAGGAACTAATCGTTATTAATATATAGGTGTCATTATTAACACTGGAGACATTTAGAGCCTATGGGAAGGTGAGAAGGTGTTGAGTGTCTGAGATTGTAGGATCCAGCCCCCAGCCCCAGAGCAGTGTCCCAGGTGGGGACTTAGTTGTAGGGGGCAGCTTGTGATCTGCACTGTGGTTAAGAGATAAGTTGGAATCACAGCCAAGGAAAGGGCAGAAGTCAGAGGTTCTGTGTTGAAAGCTCAGTTCTGCCACATGTCTTGATTTACCCATCTGTAAAGTGGGGGTCAGACTCTTTTCCTGTCTCATGGAACTCTTGTGAGGAACAGATTCAAAACTGGGTGTGAAAGCACTTTGTAAACCATGTGCATGAGCACACTCAAAGGCAATGCAAAGCGTTGTCCCCTTTGAATTGCCCCTGTTGCTGACTTGCAGGTGTCTTTGTCCTGTTTATGGTGCTGAGGCAGGATACCCTGCCTCCCTGGGAGACACATTAGTAGGCCCTCAGCCTAGCCCTGGAGGCCCACGCTGCCCCGCTCACCCCCACTCTTCCCCTTCCCCCATCCTTTCATAGCCCATTAATCAAGTGTATGGTGCTGTCTCTCCCTCCTTCCCTTCCTCCCAGCTCCTGTCCTTCCTCCATGAAGAGACATGGTAAGTATTTCAGCTCTCAGAACTCCTATCACCTGACTTTATACTTGCTGGGCAGTGGTTAATCTGAGTCTCTCTACGAGAAAGGGTCTAGAGTTACAGATCCTGACTCAGATTCCATCTTCTCCACAAGAAGCAGCCTGGACCTTGGCCAGTTCATTGCCTTGTCTCTGAGCCTCGTTATTTCCTCATCTGAAAAAGGGGAGATAATTGTACCACCTCCACAGGATGCAGGAGAGGGACTGAGCAGAAGAATCCAAGGCTGACTGTGAGGGGTTGGGCACAGTGGGTGCTTCTACTCCTGTCCTCATCCTCACCTCTCCTTCTAGGTCATAAGGTCTGGAACTGACCCTGGGTGCCTATCAGTGTGTAGCATCTCACAGCGTTCCTCCTGATAACCCCACTGGGCCCAACTCCATGCTGTGCAGAGTTGGGATCCCAGAGAGGAAGCAGACACGTTCTTACCCTTGAGGAGTGTCTAGTCTGGGATGGGGATGGCAGGGCCAGCTTGGCCACTGATGTTTGCAAAAGTGATCACAGTTGGAATAGAAGGCAGCAGAGACCCAGGGCAGGGCCTGGTGCCTCAAATAGCCCCCCAGAAGAGGTGCCCTTGAACTGACAGGATGTAGAACTGTGAGGCAAGAGGCCTAGAGACCGAGAGCCAGGATTACCTAGATAGCCTCTTTGCCAGTCTCCCTTCCTCTAGCCTTGCTTCTTTAACCCATTCTTTTGAACACAAGTGAAAATCTGATCATGTCACATACTCTGGGGACCCCATTGCCCTCAGAATAGAGTTCAAGTTCCTTAGAAGCTCATCAGCCTTATCTTAGTTCTTTCCTTCCCTGGCCCTTAAAGCCTTGGGCCTCTAGCCCTTCTCCCCGGCTCTCAACAGCTAGGTGCAGCCCTGACCTTTCCTACCCTGGCTCACTTCAGTTAAGCATCTCTTTGTCATGAAAGCATTCTCTGACCCACAGCCTAGCTTTGGGGGCCACTGCTTATATTCCCAGTGTGCCTCATACCTGTCCCATCAAACCACTTGTCACGTGGCATTGGAATTTCTTTTTGTCAAGGACACTGTTTCTCAAATCTGAGAAAGCAACTATTTTTAAAGAAAACATTTTTCACCCAGGCACAGTGTAATCCTAGCACTTTGGGAGGCCGAGGTGGGAGGATCTATTGAGGCCAGGACTTTGAGACCAGCCTGAGCAAGAGCAAAAGAAAGAACTAACATTTCTCGTGGACCTGCCTCCCCATAAAATGCAACTTGAATCATTTTTATTATCACATCACTTATTTGCAAATATAAAACTGCGTAAAAAAGGGGGGGTTCCCTCTTACACACAACCATAAACCAGTTTTCCAAAGTGGATGGAAAAGGAATTCCATCTAACTGCATCAGTTTAAAATGGTAGGTGGTATTTTGCTGACCCAGTGGTGTGTGATGTGACAAAGGCCCTGGCTCTGGGGCTGAGTAAGTCTGGATCACCGTAGGCCTCTGGAGACTTTCAAGGAAGGGCTGGCTGGCCCTGGGCATGCCCTGGAGGGAGGGGTTCCAGTGGTGGCCACCGTGCCCTAGAGTCCTGCTAAGATTTAAAAGCAGAGGGGCCCATCTGGCACTCCTTGGTGGAAACTGTGCCATGAACCCCACATCAGCCCCAACTGCACACCTCTCATAACTCCTTCAGGCTGGCTCCTTCCCTGTCATCAGCAGTTGCTGTACGTAAACCCCTTAATACTTCTGGGATTTGGCTTCTTTCTCACCTTGGTCCAAGCCATCATTGTGTGATCGATCGCTTGTCACTCCCCTACTTAAAACCCTTCAGTGGTTCTTGTCAGCCTAATGACAACATCATCTGCCCTTGTCTGCACTTTGGGCCTCATTCCTGGCCCCTCACGTTCCTGCTACACTGGTCCAACTGACCAGGAAAACTACTGACCCCTAGAGGAGTTGTGTACTCACACAGCACCTGGACTGGGTCAGAGCATTGGGTCACTTGGCTGGGATTGCTTTCTAGACTTCGATATTTTCTAGAGGTATGAGCAGTGAGCTAGTTTTGTTATTGCTGTAGCCCCAGTGTAGCTCAGTGCTTGGTATCTGGTAGGTTAGGTGCTCAGTAAGTAATTGTAAATGACAGAAAATGACTATAAAGTGTTGGAAATGTGGACAGGCAGAACCTCAGAAGTAAGGAAATGTAGTGGCTCCTCAGTCCAGAAAAACTGGCTTAAGTCCCTGGAGACATCTCTTCTTCCTGTTTTTTTTATTTTTTGTTTTTGATACAGGTCTTGCTCTGTCTCCGGGCCTAGAGTGCAGTGACACCATCATAGTTCACAGCAACCTCAAATTCCTGGGCTCAAGGGATCCTCCTGCCTCAGCTTCCTGAGTAGCTGGGACTACAGGCATGGGTCACCACTCCCAGCTAATTTTTCTATTTTTGTAGAGATGGGGTCTCCTCTTGCTCAGGCTGGTCTCAAACTCCTGACCTCAAGTGATCCTCCCTCCTCAGCCTCCCAGTGCTAGGATTACAGGCATGAGCCACTGTGCCTGGCCTCCTATATTTAATTTTTTAAATTTCTTTTTTTATTAAGGACATTTTTAAATATCCACAAAAGTAAGAGAATATTATAGTGAACCCCATACCAATCACCTGGCTTCAACAAGAATCAACATTTTGCCAAACTTGTTTTATCTCTCCCTGGGGACATCTCTTTTGATTGTCTCCTTTAACCCGCCCAGGAGTGATCTCATTAGCAAGTCAATGAGTCATTTAACTAACTGGTTTGCTGGTACTTGCCTGGGGCTAGGCAGTTGGGAGGATAATACAAAAAAAAAGTCTTTTGTGATGGATTTTCACAGGTCCCTGTGACACCATCTAAGCCCAGTTGATTGGTTGGACTAGATCTGTGGTTTGCTAACTGTTCTAGGCAGCAACCTGGGAGGGTTCTGGGCCCCATTCCTTCACTATAGCATGGGGGGGGCACAGCACACTGTGTGCCAGGCCCAGTGCTCCGTGCTAGAAACAGTGGTGGAACAGGCACCTCCCCATTCCTTCATTGCTGTCAGGCCTCCTTTCAAATGCCACGCTCCTGAGGGACGCCCACACCGGGACAGGGCCTTGGGTGGAGAAAGGAGCCTCGTGCCCAGGCAGTGGTGGCCTGCTGTGTGGGAGGAGTGGCCTGGCCAGGCCCCCAGGGCAGCCAGTGATTATCTCTGTGTCCTGAGCTACTCTCCTCCTCTTCTTGGCTCCACAGCTAGCTGCCTTCCCATTCCTCCCACAGGCGATCTCTGTGTTCCCATCTCAAGGCCTTTTATCTGTGTATATATTTTTTGAGCTTCTGTGTAAGTTTTTTTGCTTAAATAAAGGGCTTAGCCCTCGAGGACAAGTCAAACCAGCGGGCTAAACTGTGGGCTCCTAAACTTGGGCGGCCAGACTCTCTGGGTAACTTGTTTAAAAACACACATTCCTGACTCCACCCCTCACCTCCACCAGATCTATAGAGCAGATGAAAAATAGCTATTTGACAGTTTTTTAAAATCTTGAGCACAGTGGCTCACGCCTGTAATCCTAGCACTCTGGGAGGCCGAGGAGGGAGGATCACTTGAGGTCAGATGTTTGCGACCAGCCTGAGTAACAGTGAGACCCTGTCTCTACCAAAAATAGAGAAATTAGCATTAGCCAGGTGTGGTGTGCACCTGTAGTCCCAGCTACTCGGGAGGCTGAGGCAGGAGGATCCCTTGAGCCCAGGAGTTAGAGTTTGCGGTGAGCTATGGAGGACTGTACTCTAAACCAGCGTGACAGAGCAAGGCTCTGTCTCCAAAAAAAAAAAAAAATCTCCCCCAAGGTGATTCTAATACAGGCAGCTACCTTTACGAGCACTGGGGTACAGTGGTGGTATGAGTGGTGCTGTGATGTTTGGGAAAGGCCCCCTCTGCCTTCACTTCCCTGCTTTTGCGCCATTTCTCACCGCTGAAAAGAGATGGGAGCGCTTGTGTCTGCCTTCCTGCTTTCAGCCTCAGGGCGTTTGTCAGCTTCCTGGTGCCCCTCCCACCTCCATTTGCCACAGTGATTCTTCCCTGTCCTTCATCTCTGATAAAAAAAAAAAATACTGACAGGGCGGCAGCATTTCAGATAGAGCCCTGTTAAGGGGAGAGACAGCTTTCGGGCCTCCAGCCTGTGTTCTGCCATATAAGTCACAGAATTCACCTTGATGTTCTTCCTATCACTTCCCCAAGGTCCTCGAGTGGGGGCAAGGCACAGGCTCTTTTCCTGACTTAGACCTGAGCAGGGTAGCCGCAAGGGGCTGCATTAAATCCTGTTATCCCAGCTCCCTCAGCTGTGCATGTCTATGGGCTGCCAAGTGTGCTGTGGACCAGGGCGAGCTGCGGGGGAGTGTGTGGAGGGGGTGTTTTCTGTTCTGTTCTCTGAATCGTCAGCTAAAATGGGAGGTGCAGCTGGGGGCTAGGTGCCTGCCCAGGGCTCCTCCCTGAGACTCTTCAACAACACTCATGCTGCTTCACTTGACCCAGGTCGCTGTGACCTGACCATCCAGCAGTGAGGTGGGAGGCTCAGCACACTCCTGTAGTGCAGGTAGCCGAGGTGGCAACTGTGGAAGGGAAGGACCAGAAGCACCAGGAGAAGAGGCCTCAGGCTGACTCTCTGTGGCTGGCAGTGGTAGCTGCCCAGAACCAGGCTGTCTGGATCAAATCCCAGCCTTTGCACCTGTGACCTTGAACAGAGTTCTGAACCTTTCTAATCTGGGCCTCAGTTTCTTCTATGGATGTCATCATAAAACCTGTCACATAGGCTGCTGAGGTCAAACGAGTAATTAGATGTGCAGCGTTCAGAATAGCACCTGATGTTTTGTGTCACGTATTTGCCATTAGGATGATGATGATGATCGTTCAGCTGTCCCCTCTGCTCCTCTGGGAAGAGATAGCAAAGCAGTGGGGGTTGTAAAGCCCAGAGACCTGGGTTTGAATCCCAGCTCTGCACTCAGGCTGTGTGACTCTGGGCAAGTTCCTTCATCACTTTGAGCTCCAGTTCTCCCTTTAGTACTTAGGGACGCTGCTTTCTGCCTTCCAGGCTTGTACACAGATTAAACATAACGCAGGTGAGATGGTTGGCATGGTACTGGTATTAAAAGTGGTTTAATAAGTTTGTTCCCTTCATCCCACCCAGCTCTTCAGCCCTACCTCTCTTTGGGGTTCCCCTGCAACTCTAGTTAGGATTCGGCTCAGCCAGCGTCCACTGATGCCTGATGCTCGGCTACCCTGCAGGACCATAGAGGGGAAGAGGGACAAATGAGAACCTCAGGGGCAGGGCTCTTCCTGGCTGGAATGGAGAAAGAGAAGAAGCCTTCCAGCCTGACATGGCCAGGGGCCTGATGCTGTCTTTGAGTCATCTATGGAATGGGTATGGCTGTAATCAGCTGGGCAAGGAGCCATACCAACTCCAAGCACCAGCTTCTAAAATGGGTGGCTGTCCCTTTGGCTGGGTAGAGGCAGATACAATCCATGGGAAGATGGTACCCAAGGGCTTGCTCAGATATAGCCAAGAAAGAGGCCTGGTGATAGCCAGGGACAGAAACTGGTATGAGAGTCCTGGGACTTTGATCCCTTCAGCAGACACTGAGGCCTGCTAGGCACTGCCACAGCCCACACAGTTCCCATGTCCCAGCACACAGGAGGTCCCCTACAGCAGCTGGTACTTAGTACAAGCCCCACAAGTACCTGTTGATGAAGTAAGAGGAGAGAAGACAGGACCAAAGAAGGACCTAGAGTATAAAATTTCGATCAAGCCACTGTTTGGACCCCTGAGTGGTTTATCGTAGTGTGCCGGCCTGTTGAGATCAGCCTGCTCACTTCTGAGTTCATCACCTACCATTCCCCTCTTTTGTCAGTCCCTTAAACCAAACTCTTTCCTGCCTCAGCACCTTGGCATTTGCTGTTCCCTCTGTCTAGAACATTCTTGCCTTAGCTTTCTGTATTGCTGGCTCTTCCTTATCCTTTAGGTCTCAGCCTTCCAGACCCTGTTGTCTATGGTAGCCTCTGTTATCTTTATACACTACCCCTTATTCCTGTCTGGGTAGTCACCTATTTGTTTATTGCCAGTCTCCCGTCTAGATGGACTCTAAGGCTCCACAGGGCAGAGTACATGTCTGTTTGATTCACAAAGGCATCCTCAGCACCAAGAACTGGGCCTAGCACATAGAAGGCACTTGAATATTATTTGAATGAGCAAGAAGCCTGGAAAGGGAGAGCAGCAGGAAGGCAAGAAGCTCCAACTTGACAGTTCTAGTGAATATAGTACGCCAGGCTCTGGGGCCCTGTGACAGCCTCAGAGACAGATGCAGAGGAGTGACTCCCGCTCCTCCAGACGCAAAGGCCCAGGCTTGGGGATCCCTGCTGCAGGTGGAACCCCGGCTGACTTTACCAGGCTGAGCTGTAAGTGTGTTCATCAGGAAAGTGGGAGTTGATCAGACTCATCTTCTAGGGCTGATGTAATTATTAGAAGAAAGTCGTGAAGACGTACAGTGCTCAGTAAATGGCAGATACTGGCAAACTCTCTGCAGTGGAGGCTCCCAGAAAGATGCCTAGATGTATGGATACCTCCCGTGCCCTTCCCACCACATACACAGTTTCTAATGTTTCTTCTCTCCCCTGCTTCTGAGTTGGCAAGAAAGTGATTAGGCAGCTTTTCCCCTGGGGTGGCCCCTTCAGTGGAAGGCAAGAGGGAGGAGGACTTGGAAAAGCTGTTAGGGGATTGTGTGTGTAACAAAAGAGTTGAGGTTTGAAAACAGGTTTTGTATTTATGAACTTACACCAACCAAGCAGCTAAGAAACTGTTTTCTAGTCTAATCTTTACCTGTTTTTTTTTTTTTCTTTTAAAAAACAATGCCCAGAGGAGCTACTGTAGGATTAGTCGCGTCACATCCCCAGGCCATTGGGAGTGAACAAAGGCAAAAAGGGTACAAGTGGTTGATCTTTTAGAGGGTCAGGAATGATGCCAAGGTGCGGTGCCTGCTGCCCTCGGGTGTGCATAGACTGTATTCACACTTCTCTTGAACACTGTTATCTACCCTTGTGGTGTCATTTTTGTCTGAAAAGAGACTGTGCCAGGCCCTAACACGGGCCCTGGGTGAATTGAGATGTCTTTTGAATCCATTTCCTCTGCTCTGGCCCTATCTCTAATATCTTACTTAGAGGAGTAGACATTCCCCAGAGGGGGAAGAGGGCATTCCGGAAAAAAGGAATGTGGTGTGCAAAAGGCATGAGGTTATTAAAAAAAAGAGCAGGTTGGGTAAGGTCAATTCTTTACTGAAAACAAGAAACAAGCAGAGCCTGAGTGGGGGCAGGTGAGCAGTTTTACACCGCGGAACGCGGGGGTAGGAAGGGATCATCTTGTAGGGGCAGCTGGACAGGGGCTGTGATGACACGGGAGGGTTTTATGCCCAGCCTCTCGAGTCTGGACTCGATCCTGTAGGCAGTAGGAGACAAATGGCAGCTTTCTGGAACGGGAATGACAGCCATTCCATTTTAGAAACAGAACCGACAACCAGTGAAGAGGCTGGACTGGAGCGCCGTGAAGCTGGGGCTATTAAAGAGTCCAGATAGATAGGGGGCAGGGTGCTAGATGCATCCCCCAAACCACCTGTGCCTTGAGCTTTGCAGCACATAGCATACCACTTAATGGTGAGAAACTACATGCCTCGTGTGTACGTCAAAAAAGATGGGTCTAAACAATCAACTAGATGGGAATGGGGTCAAAATTAATGGCAGCTTTCTCAGCAGCATGTGAGAAAAAGACTTAAGGAAGCTGGTTGAAGGGACAGTTCTGCTGGAGCCACTAGTCCTAGTATTGCTCTGAAGCAAGAATGACTTTTCTTCTTCCCGACCGACAAGCATTTGGTGCCTTTGTGGCTCTTTCGGGCCTGCAGCAAGACTCTGCTCTGCAAGCTTAGGAGTGAATCGCTGTTAGCCTTGTCCCCTCTCTTTCCTCCTTTATCCACCCACATCCAACCAGGTAGCAGGTCCTGCCGTTCCTGGTTTCCTAAACGGATCAAACTTTGGTCCTCCTTGCTACCTCCCATAAAGTGACATGAACTGCTACCCCATCTCCCTGCTTCCAGTCTGTTCTCCACAAAGCAAGGTGCTGCTTTGCTCCAGACCCTCCTGTGGCTCCCCAGTGCCCTTATGATAAAGAAACAGATACTCACCCTAAGAGGTGACCCCCAGTTAACCACTCTCAGCTCCAGCCACATGGACCTTTCTCATAGGCACTCTGCACAGCCACCTGCCACTCTGCTCTCTCTCACCTAAACAACTGCTTCTCCTTCAGAGAGTGCTTCCCTGAGTCCACAAAGACTAGACTGGGTCTCCCCGTTACTGTCCGCAGCAGCACCATCGTATGGACCTTCCCTTCACTGGCTGAATCACAGTTGCGATTTTATATTGGTTTGTGTGATTTCTTATCTAACTTCCTCTTCCTGCTGTGCAACTCCGTGAGGGCTGGGATTGTGTTTGTGTTGTTTGCTCCTGTGTTCCCGGGTCCTGGGACACAGTAAGTGCTTCATAGCTGTTTTTGATTGAGTGAACTGATCGGTCTTTTATGTTCGTTCCAGATATGTAACTGGTTCATCAATGCCCGGCGGCGGCTTCTCCCAGACATGCTTCGGAAGGACGGCAAAGACCCTAATCAGTTCACCATTTCCCGTCGCGGGGGTAAGGCCTCAGAGGTGGCCCTCCCCCGTGGCAGCAGCCCCTCAGCGTTGGCTCTGTCTGTACCAGCCCCTGCCAATGTGCTGTCCTTGTCTGTGTGCTCCATGCCACTCCACTCAGGCCAGGGGGAAAAGCCAGCAGCCCCCTTCCCACAGGGGGAGCTGGAGCCCTCCAAACCCCTGGTGACCCCTGGTAGCACCCTCACTCTGCTGACCAGGGCTGAGGCCGGAAGCCCCACAGGTGGACTCTTCAACACACCTCCACCCACACCCCCAGAGCAGGACAAAGAGGACTTCAGCAGCTTCCAGCTGCTGGTGGAGGTGGCGCTACAGAGGGCTGCTGAGATGGAGCTTCAGAAGCAGCAGGACCCATCACTCCCGCTACTGCACACTCCCATCCCATTAGTCTCTGAAAACCCCAAGTAGGCATCTGCCAGCAGGGGTGCTCGAGGCTTGAGCCAGCTGTCCTGGGTTTCCGTTTTGGTTCCCTTCCATACAGAGGGTTTTCTATGGATCACTGCCAAACATCAGGATCATCTCCTCTGTCCAGAGGTCTTCAGCAGGAAGATGCCAGCTGGCGTCACTGCACTGTGATGGGGGACCTCTCCTATGCTAATTCTGCCGTTTCCCCAGGCCTCCCTTCAGTGGTGAGACCAAGAGATTGGAGACAGGCATGGTGCTGCTGTTGCTGCTTCTCCAGAGGACCCCTGGGACACCTTTCTTCCAGCCTGCTCTCCTGGGCTGGGCTCAGGAACCTTGCCAGGTTCAGACCTATGCTGGGTCCAAGCTGCCCCTGAGCTGTGCCTCTTTCTGTCAAACCAGGTGTGGACATTCCAAGTTCATAAGCATGAACAAAAGAAAAGAGGAGCCCAGCAGATGTAACAGGACCGACTCCAGTTGAATGTTTAGATTTTTGCTAAACTGTTTATTTTTCCCTTTTTGCTGTGGTTTGCATCAATGGCAGTAGTTAGCCCAGGTTGTGGGAATGAGAATGCCTTGCGTGATGGAGTCTGATGAACTAGGAATGACCCGCCACTACAGTTGGGAGTGTTTTGCAAGGAAGGAGTATTTTTATTTTGGGGACCAGCTAAATCTCTGCAGTAGTGTGAAATTCCAAGTGGTTGTTGTATTGTTGGTTTGGTTTACCAAAAAAAGACAGAAAAAAAGAAAAAGAAAAAAACTTGTGGGCGTTGGCTTTTCTGCATCAGGCACAGAGGGGATAAAGCCATAGCCAAGAGATAGTCCAACAGAATCTGACTAAACCTTCCAGGTACAGAGCAGAGAAAAATGATAAAACCAGAGAGGTGTTTGGTTTTTTTGTTTTACTTACTGTATTTTTTGGGGGGCGGGGAAGTAAGCTAGACTGAAGCAGTGGATATTTTTTTCTTTTTTTCTTTAACGTTTTCCCCTTCTTTATTCTTGATGGCTTTTGCCCTGCAGCCTGAGTTTTGAATTCCTAAAGGAACTTAAAGATTAGTGGAGCCAGAATATCAAAATCTCTTGGCATCTCCAACTTGGAGAGAAGTGAGCCATCTACTGGTCACGAAGGCCTTCTAGCTGACTGGCACAGGCGGCTTCCCCTCAAGGTGGCAGGAAACTGTTCCTGGAGGAAGCAGGGAATAGTGCCCGAAGCTGCCCGAGGAACTTCCTTCAGAGGCAGCTGGGGCTCAACATGGGTTAAAAGCCTGTTATTTGTGTCTTTGTTTCACCTTTCTTTAGATTGGGGTTGTAGGGGCCCTACCCTGAACTTGCCAGTGAAACCAATCACGGATGGTCTTATAGGCACGAGCCACCAGGTGGGCCCCACAGTTGGTTTATGCTCCTCCCTTGCCCCCATTTTTCTTTTGCTGTTTCATTGTTGACAGTGTCAACAGCAATATGCCCCATCGTTATATATCCTACGAAACACTAATCCTAGGTTATTATTAGCCGAAATATTTTTGTTCTGAATAACATTGTTACTGGGCCAAAAGATAGGTCAGGAGCCCCAGCCTTTAGTTTCCTGAAATTGCTAGGTTAGGCACAAGGAGGGGTTCCTGGCTATTGTCTGACTTAGGTGGGCCTGGCCAGGAGAAAGGCAGCAGCACTCATTCTGTCCTTTCTGGGAAGACCCCTGAAGCCCTCAGGGAGGCTCCCCCTCTTCTGAGCGGCTTGGCCCATCTGTTGCTGTGGGAGTGAGCAAGTTTCCTGGGCTCTCTGGCCTCTTCCTCCTGTGCCTGCTCCTGGTGTGCCCAGGGGGTTCAGGGATCCTCACCCTCCTGAGGCCCAGCTGGGGAAGAATGAACATGGCAGTGTCAAGGTTGAAGCTGCTGTTTGCCCAGCCTCTTCCATCCTGAGCGTGTCTGTGAGCCCAGTCTGGAGTGACTGCTGCGGGATGCCCGTAGTAGGAACTCTGGAAGTGTACTGGGCTGGGGTGGGTCTTCCCTCCCCACAGTGCACTGAGCAACGGAGGGGGTGAGGGAGCCGTGCTGCTGAATTCTGGCTGGCATCCCCCCTAGTGTAAAATGGGGTGTCAGGGTGGGGCAGCCTCACTTGGTTTTGGTTGTAAGATAAACTGGAGGAGAAGCACAGTTGTCCCATTGAATTATTTGAGAAAAAACTACTGTAAATAACTTGTTTTTGTCTTTTGTCAAATAAAGTTGTTTTTGTTCTCTTTTTAAGCAAACAGTGTTCTTGATTGATCCACTGTGCCTCTAGGCCCAGGCCTGGGGACAAAGCTGTCACCAAGTTGTTACTCTGCCTCTAGTAGCCACCTGTGAGTTTTGTGCACCCTCCACCCCTGTTCCCTTTCTGCAGCCCCCTTCCATACCGCAGTCACCAGAGCATACAGGGTCATATGCCTCCCAGGTGGGGCCAGTCTTCCCTGGGATCTACAGTTAAGCTTTGGGGTTGCTCAGTTGTGAGGAGTGATCTGAAGACAACTGGAAACTTTGTCCTCTCCCTCTCAGTGTGGGAGAACATGACTGCAGCATGAAGCCAGCACAGAAAGCAGATAAGAGATAGAGGCTCCAGTCATGTCTGAAACCAGTACCACCTCTAGACTTCCCGATTACATAAGCTAGTAAATTTCCCATTGCAGCCCAAACTACAAAAACCAACGTCTGCAACCGTAGTAAACAGCAAGTTTTGCTGGGTATGCCTGGGCCTGTGTAATGTTCATTATCTCTTAATTTTTATGTACACACATACAATAGAGAGATGCCCTCCTAGGTGATGAAACTGAGTGGGGATTTAAGTTACTTGCCTGAACTCATACAGCTAGTCTAAGTGTGGAGCTAGGATCTGAATTCAAGTCTCTTCAAGGTCACTCTGAGGTCTGCCCAGAACCATCTGATGGACACTTACACCTGTTGGCGTCCAGCTGTGTAACAGTGGTATGCAGCTAAGCACAAGAAGTTTCTTCTATGAACCAAATCAGCTTCTTTGTGATTTGTCCCCAATACCCCAGGGTTGAGGACGTCCAGTCTCTCCCACAGGTCACTCTGCTTTGGTTGTCTGGAGAGGGAGCCTCTCCACTCAAGTTCCCCAGATTAAAGAGCCCTCACTCCTTAGCCATTCATCCATGGTCCTAATTTTCCCCACTTCCCTCTCAAACTGGACACTTGACCCTGGGGCTTGGCAGAACAGGAACATGCTGGAAGGACTCCTCAAAATGAATTTAACACATTTCACATCCGGAAAGTAGTAATTTTCCCTAAAAGGGAAAGTGATTTGGATGGTTCATCCACCTATGGAGAGATGGCTTCTTACATAACTCTTTTTCAAAGAATTGAAAAGTGTCTTCTGCATCGAGCCTCAAATCAATGAGCCCCGAAGTGAGCAGACACTAGATAATGAAAGTTGACTGTGAGGGACAATATCTAGGGTCCCCCCTCCGAAGCTGGGAATGTGATCTGAGGACATCCACCTTTCTTATAACAGCCTCGTTTAGGAAACTGCTTTTAAATGCATCTCTGTTCCTGGTCTTAAGTACCTGCTATCTCTTTGGGCTGGCTATGTATTACCTGACCCCCTCCCTGTTAATAGGCGGCCAAGATGATCATCCAAGTCCTTGGATATCAATGTCAATTTGGACCTGTGTCCAATAGTTTAAAAAAAAAGTGGTGTTGGTGACGGAGGAGGGTATGCCACCCTTTAGTCTCATGGTCAGGGAAAGTCTCTTCGTTTCCACTGTTTATGAATGGCAGTCTCTCCATGGTCCCCAGCCTGAGAACCACTTGGAAACTTTTTCCCCCAACTCAGACTTATGAATAAGTATCTCTGGGGTAGGACTCAGGACTCTGGATTTTAAAAGTACATTCTAGTTTGAAAGCTGCTACATGAAAGCTCCCAGAGGGCAGAGGCCAGGTCTGGCCTGGTGTGGCAGGCACGAGGGCTGCAGAGAATAAGGTCTGGCACTCAGGAAGGATGTGGAAATAATCCCTGCTGTCAGTGTTAACTGATTTCAAAAGCACTTCTCTATGATCTAAGCCTAGGTTCAATTCTGGGTCTGTCCCTGACTACCTGTCATGACCACAGGCAAGTAAATTCACTACTCCAAACTTCACTTTCCTTATCAACAGAGTGGGAATAGTAACACCTCTCAGGAGGATGGAATAGGATGATCTATATGTTACTGTTACTATCTGGCCTCCCCCTTGCTCTCAGCACAGAGCTGAAGGAAAAACAAAACCCTGAAAATAACTTACCCCACACCACACAGCTTTTAAGTGGCAGAATGGGAACTAATTACCCAGAGAAGTGATTCTCAAGCCTAGATATACATCAAGATCATCAGGAGAGCTTACAAAAATGCAGATTCCCAGGCCTTTGCTCCCAGAAGGTCCAGACACAGATCTGTGCTCTTCACTGATGCTATAGGAGACTCCTATGCTCTTGTTCCAGGAACCTGATCATTTATTATCAGGACACTGACTTGTCCCCAGGAAGCTGCTGGGCTGGGAAAACAGCACCCCAATCTTTCAAAGTTACAAGATGAGAGGAAGAAGGGTCCTCCAAGTAGTCCTCCCTGAACTATATGACTTCTTTACCCCCAGAAGTCCATGGTGAGTTGAAGGTCAAGTATAGCCTTCCTGAGATTATTATTTTAATTACCAAAGTAATCAACATTCACTGTAGAAAACTGAAAATAAAGGTATAAAAGAGAGGAGTTTAGTATAATGATTAAGAGCCCAGATAGCTTTTGGAGGAAAACAAATGTATATGAAACGTTTAGCAAAATGGACTGGCACCCAGTAAGGACTCAGTTAAGTGCTAGTATAACACTTATGGTAGGCAAAAAGAAAACATGACCAGGATATAAACTCAGACCTCCACTTCACAACAGGTGCTCTCTCCACGGCTCTTTCCTGGTGGTTCCCCCCAACCCACCAGCTTTTCCCCCAGGACTTCTAGTATCTGTGATCTATCAGTGTGTCCTGGTGTCCTGTCCAGGGCCACAATCTCACCACTCAGAGCCTCCTTTCCTCTCCAAACCCCACTACAAGCAGCTGGCAGTGGTATAGAGACATTCTGCTGGGAGGAAATACTCAGCCCTAAGGCTGAGATCTTGTGTTCAACTGGTGCTAAAAAGCTCCAACCTCACAAAGACAAAATTTGTCCTGCTTCCAAATCTGTCTCTCCCACTTCCAAATCTGACTCTTCATCAAGTTCTTTTCCATCTGAGACCACCCAAGATGTTTATTTTAACCAGATGGATGCACTGGGATTCAGCCAGAATCCCCACTTCCTAAGATAAGGAAAGCCTTGGGTGGAAGCAAAAAGGGATCAAGTCTGAGTCCCATAAATACCTTCTAGGCAAGGGCTTCCACCCTGGCTGCCAGCTTGGCTCTCTGTCTGCTCCTAGGAAGTTAAGAGGAGGAACAGGGATCAGGTTTCAGACGCCTGTTGAACCTCCAGCTTTCTGTGTGACCTTGGCTGCACTGCAGGGTCTGAGGACCCTTCCAACTACAACTTTCTAGGACCTCCTCCACCTCCGTGTAAACACGAACTCAATGAATCTCAGTTAGGGTCAGAACTTCAAACTATAACACAAATATAACACAGAAAGAATTAGCGCCTATCTTGTTCTGAAGAAATAAAGTTACCTGTATTCAAAGATGATGTGATCTTATATGTAGAAAACCCTAAAGATTCCACCAAAAAACTATTAGAATTGATAAATGAATTCAGCAAAGTTGCAGGATACAAAATCAACATACAAAAATCAGTTGTGTTTCTATATACTAACAATGAACAATCTGAAAAAAAATTAAGAAAACAATGCAATTTATAATAGCATCTAAAAGATTAAAATATTTAGGTATTAACTTAAATAGGCAGTTGAAAGACTTGTAAACTGAAAACTTAAAATTTAAAAAAAAATTACTGCAATTTTTTCTTTTTTTTGAGACAGGGTCTTACTCTGTCACCCGGGCTAGAGTGCAGTGGTGTCATCATAGCTCACAGCAACCTCAAACTCCTGGGCTCAAGCGATCCTCCTGCCTCAGCCTCCCGAGTAGCTGGGACTACAGGTACTCGCCACAACACCCAGCTAATTTTTTCTATTAATACTTTTAGTAGAGACTGGGTCTCTTGCTCAGGCTGGTCTTGAACTCCTGACCTGAAGGGATCCTCCCTCCTCGGCCTTCCACAGTGCTAGGATTATAGGCATGAGCCACTGCCCAAGGCCTGACAATTTTTTTTTTTTTTTTGAGATAGAGTCTCACTCGGTCACCCAGGCTGAAGTGCAGTGGCATGATCATAGCTCACTGTGGCCTCGAACTCCTGGGCTCAAGCAATCCTCTTGTTTCAGCCTCCAAAGAAGCTAGGACTATAGGCACATACCACCACATCCAGGTAAATTTTTTTTTTTTGTCTGAACATCCAGCTTTGAAAAGCTAAATTTTTAAACATATTTTGTAGAGATGGGGTCTTGCTATGCTGCCCAGGCTGGTCTCAAACACCTGGGCTCAAGTGATCCTCCTGCCTCAGCCTCCCAAAGTGCCGGCATTATAAGCATGAGATACTGCACTTGGCCCATTGAAAGAAATTAAAAACACAAATAGGCCTCATTTGAGACCAGGAGTTTGAGACCAGCCTGAGCAACACAGCGAGACCCCATCTCTACAAAAAAATAGAAAAATCAGCAGGTTGTCGTGGCACGTACCTGTAGTCCCAGCTACTCGGGAGGCTGAGGCAGGAGAATCACTTGGGCCCAGAAGTTTGAGGTTGCAGTGAGCTCTGACAACACCACTGCACTCTGGCTGGGACAACAAAGTGAGACTCTGTCTTAAAAAAACAAAACAAAACAAAAAAAACACAAATAAATGGAAAGATATCCTGAATTCACTTAATATTGTTAAGAAGTCAATTCTCCTGAAGCAATCTACAGATTCATTGCAATCCTTATCAAAATCTCAAAGACTTTTTTTTGCAGAAACAGAAAAATTAATCTAAAATGTATATGGAATCTTAAGGGACCAAGAATAGCCAAAACAATTTTGAAAAAGGACAAAGTTAGAGGACTCACATTTTCTAATTTCAAAACTTACAAAGCTACAGTAATCAAAACTGTGTGGTACTGACTGAAAGACAGATATATAGATCAATGGAATAGAATGGAAAGCCTAAAAATAAACCCTCACTCATATGGTCAAATGATTTTCAACAAGGGTGCCAAGACCA